TTAGGGCTTCTTGAGGAAACTTTGATAATAATGATCCGATTTCTGTCTAGCGTTCCGACGGCACAGGGCAAACATCTGGATCCGGGGACCCTGAGCCCGAATGTCAAATCCTCCAGCTGAGGTCAGTTGCACAGTGAGTTATTGACAGGCGCGGGCTGTACATATGGGACTGATTTCCCAGCGAGCCTTCCTGAGAAAATGATTCGTTTAATAGCAATTTCTTGCAATCGGACGCTTCCCGGAAAGTCCCAAACAACTGTATACAAACCCCGGCAACAGCAGACGTGAGCACAATCTTTCTCAGCGACTTCAAGCATAATGCGAGAAAACGGAGCTAGGGGTAGTCGTAGTAGTCGTAGTTTTCGTAGTAGTCGTAGTGTCGTCGTGTCGTAGTAGTCGTAACATTCATCGTAGTCATAGTCGTAGTACAAATAGAAACGGTGGCAGTAGCAGTGGTGGTAGTAGTAGTAGGAGGAGGAGGCGGAGGAGGAGCAGGCGCAGTAGTAGTAGTAGTAGTAGTAGTAGCAGCAGGAGAAAGCAATAGCAGCAGCTGTAGGAGTAGGTGGTAGTAGTAGCAGTAGTAGCAGCAGCAGGAGACAGCAGTAGCAGTAGCTGTAGGAGTAGCAGGTAGCTAGTAGTAGTAGTAGTAGTAGTAGTAGTAGTAGTAGTAGTAGTAGTAGTAGTAGCAGTAGCAGTAGCAGTAGCAGTAGTAGTAGTAGTAGTAGTAGTAGTAGTAGTAGTCGTAGTAGTAGTCGTAGTCGTAGTAGTAGTAGTAATAGTAGTCGTCGTCGTCGTCGTAGTCGTAGTCGTAGTCGTAGTCGTAGTAGTAGTAGTAGTAGTAGTAGTAGTAGTAGTAGTAGTAGTAGTAGTAGTAGTCGTGGTGGTAGTAGTAGTAGCAGCAGCAGTAGTAGTAGTAGTAGTAGTAGGAGTAGCAGTACCAGTAGCAGTAGCAGTAGCAGTAGTAGCAGTAGCAGTAGCAGTAGCAGAAGTAGTAGCAGCAGCAGCAGTAGCAGCAGTAGTAGTCGTCGTCGGCGTAGTGGTGTAGTAGTGGTAGTAGTACCAGCAGCAGCAGCAGTAGTACATGCCTCATCATGACGCTGAGTGCTGCTGTTGAACAGCCTGGCATAACCACAACGCTGCGAATAAAAGTACTGACAACCAATGAATAACACTACCAGTAGCCAATCATAGTAGTGACTCTTTTTTACAGCCCCGCCTCCGGAGAAGACCCCGGCAACGTCGGAGCCACAACTCTGACGGAGTCAAGAAGCTCGATGGCAGCATCTGCAGTCGAACCTTTGGAAGGTTGCAAGCTCCACGGCTCACCGAAAGCTCTGTGTCTCTGCGTGTGCTCGCGCTCGAAAACGCGCGGCCTGGTGATGGTGGAGACTTTTGGGCTCAAGCCTCAAAGGCGGAAGCTCTTTAAACCCGAAGGTCCGAAACGGAAAACGTATACCTAATCCGAAACACTACCAAGATTCCCAAACCCTCAAAAACATCGAAGGATGATGGTCATTGTGAAGGCCAGTGCGCAGGGAGCTATCCCATTCATGCAGGGCGAAACGGTCTCGGGATTTGGAGTAGCGGTTGCATGTTTTGAGTTCACGATGTTGCGCACAAGCATCAGTCCAAGTTACAATTTGCTAACAGCGCCGGGACGACATCGACGGCATTCATGCCCGTCCTTGGAATCTATTGGGCCATGGGGCTTAAGTCTCGGATTTATGGTGCGGGGCGGGTTAAACCTCCTGTCTGTGGGTTCAAGACTGTTGTCCACGTGAAACACCCCTGAGCACAGCCTAAACTGGTGCTTGGAGCAAGGGCACGTCCCAGGCTCTGCCTTCTCATAGACGGACTGTGCGAAAGCGTGCGCCGAGATGGTTAAACCTGCCTGCTATGAAAGAGCTGCTGCTTTAGGGTTTCGGGGTATGGGCTTTGGGATTTAGGGCTGAGGGGTTTAGAGTTTATTTGGGGTTTAAGGGTTCAGGTGTTTCTCCCTTTATCTTCCCTGCAGCGCTTTGCGGTTCTGGGTTAAGAAGGTTAAGGACCAGGAGCCGTGTCGTGCTCGATGTTTAGGCTTGGAAGATTTATCCTTCGGGAGGTTTCCCTGGTTCTTAGAACATTGGTGTCAGAGAACCATGTACTATGATATAGAGAGTAAGAACACCGCTATCATAATCAGGGCGGCTCACAACAGACCCCTAAATGCCTGACTACCGCTCGCTTAGCATGTATAGCCTCCAGCATAGAGTCTTTCTCCAAAACTTCGGTTCTAGGTATGTTTGGGTCCCTCGGCCTCAAACCCTTCGACCGAATCAGTAATCAGTTAAGCCGATGATGTCACATTCAAAATTAATATGACAGCGCAAATCCCCAAACAGTGACAGGGCACCTTGACGACGAAGACGACCACTACGACCGCAACACGCAGGAGACTGAGACCACCGGGAGACCCAGCTAAGAAGTGGCCCATGCGTTGGAATACAATGCATCTGGCTCTCTGGGCGATGTGGCCGCAAGGATCTGCGACGACGCAGAACAATGCAAAAGATGAACCCTCATTTGGATGCAGCTCGGAGCACTCACTCTGTCTTCTCACCAAACCGTGAGCCCTTGCACTGACGAGGCAAATCTGAAGGGTTTCTGCAGTGCATCGTCGAGCCGCGCCTCATTCATGCCCTCGAAGGCCACTTTCACAGGCAGGCCAGTTGGAGGAAGGTGGAAGATGCTCATTGGGGCAATGTAGCCTAGCTTCACCACAGACCGATTTCGCCGGAAAAGCACTGCAAGTTAATCGTAGAACACGGTTGCGAACACGTGGACATTTTGTGCCGGGCTTGTACGTACTATGCAGGACTCGCCCGAACCCAACTGAAGGTCATAGATCATGAAGTAAGGATGATGCTGGAACTTGACATGCATGGTAGAAACAAATATTTGGTGATGATGATGATGATGATGTTGGTGATGATGTTGTTGTTGTGGGGGCAGCTATTGGAGCTTGTTTGACGGTTCAGTTCACTCGTACGTGTCCTATGTCTCTGGCGGCATGTAGGACGTTCAACTGCATAATTAGGGCCCCAAAAAAGCACATAAGCAAAACTTAGGATAGGGATGTCCCATATAAACCCCTTTAAAGGAAGCCCAATAGGGTAGGGATATCTCCATAAGATGCTTATGCTTATGTGCTTTTTGGGTCCCTAAATAATGCTTGCATGCGCAGGTTTGGGGTTAGTCGGCCGGCAACCCGCTGGCTTCACATCCGGGGTCTGAGGTTTGTTAACTGTTGCCGAGATGCCGAACTTGTTCTCCACAGATCGGGGAACCGCATCGACCGTGTACATCGTGCTGTTGAAGACGTTGGCAAGCTCCATTGTCCTTTTGAGCCCTCTGGATATCTTCAGCTCATTCTCTCTCTCTCTCTCTCTCTCTCTCTCTCTCTCTCTCGCTCGCTCTCTCGCTCTCTCCCTCGGTCTCTCTCCCATATGTATGTATACACACCTATACACAGGTACATATGTGTTCTTTACACTCGTGTTTTGCATCCTTACTACCCTTACACTTATCCTTTCCGAGCGCTATGATAGTTCTGACCCATCACTGCACGAATTCTTAATTGGTGCCGCTTGTCCTACGAGTGATTTCCTCATTGAGTGTTTCTGTGGTTCCAGGTCAATAGTTGTGACGGACTGTTTGTCGTGAAGAAGAAGCCATAGCCCCAAAATCTGACATGTCGCGAGCACGCAGGGAAAATCAACTAGCAGCCCGGACTGACAAAAGCGTCTTGGTCGGCTGACAAGTCCCGAGGCCCGGAAAACCCCGGACAGACCTACCGACCCCGAAAGGCAGTCCTGGAAATCAAATACGAGGGATGTCCGTGGTCTTGCCATGGAATCTCCACATAACTGCACCTAGGTTGGGCGTCTGTCACAGATGAAATCAGGCTTCCCTTGCAGGGTGGGTTGGAGAAGGTTGGGTCGTGTGGCCACCTGTTTTGTCCCCGCACGAGGCTTGCGATGGTGTGGATTGTCGCTTAAGTTTCCGTTGTAGGATGATTCAAGACTTCTTATATCTCTATAAAATTTTGTGCGACACAAAGCAATACTAGACTTTAACAGCATGAGGGGTTTGAGGACTAGGGCTACGGCCGCTGGGCTTGAAGGTTCCAGCCAGCCCCGAGAGGGATGCGGGGGGGTCAAGAACAAGAACAAAACAGAAACACAACACACTCACCCACCCACCCACGAACCCCACCCACCCACCCACCCACCCCACCCAACCCCCACCCACCCCCACCCACCCGCCTACCTACCCACCCACCCAACCACCCACCCACTCACCGACCCTCCTACCTAGCCGACCATGTTCCCGTGAAGGAGCATCTTACGCTGCCGGAGGCCTGTTTGCGATACTGACACCTGCACCCCGCGCCGAACGAGCTGACGTACATAAAGACACCCTAAACCCGAAGCCCTGGAGCCAGCACCTCACAAAGATACAAAGCCAGGCAATATCGAGGCTAAACTCTTCAGCGCCGAGTCCTGGACCCAGAGGCCTATCGCTGAGGAGCGGACGCCCAAGCAGCGGGCAGATTTAGAAAGAACTTCAGCATGGCCAAAGACGCTACACGCCCTGCTTTCTTGATGGCAGAGATCTGCAGCAAATGCATCTGAAAAGTGTTTCAAGCTTCTGTAGATTGGCACATCGCTTAGGGTTGATCTCGAAGCTCGGGAAAGCAGCCCAGATGTCGGGACCTGCAGTGTTATGCCGTACAGGTGAAACGCAGAAGAAGTTGAACTGTTATGCCAAGCGCATGGATCCGAATCTCGAAAACCGGCAGGTTCGGTACTCATAAGTCACACACTTGGGGAAATGCCAACGAGTTGCTTTGGGTGTTGTTAAGATGGTTTAAGGTTCTAATGAAGCCTGCGCCCATTTAGGGAAAGCCCATAAACCCTAAACCCTAAAAATACTGAACTCAACGCTCCCGGGGGCCCTACACTGCAGAGTCCGAAGCCGTCTTCAGCATTTGCTCCTGCTGGAGTTACGGCTTAGCCTTTAGGGTTCATGGTAATTTTGAAACAGGCTCTTGGCATCAATCTAAGCCAATCTGCTTTTGCTGTTGGTGCTCTACACTACTGTTGCTGATATTGGTGCGCTGATACCAATACTATTTCAGAAAAACCTATCTGATTACTAGAACTATATCCAGATTGTACAAAAAATCTTGTTGCATTCCAGATGGGCGCTAAGCCGCTGAGCCTAAACCCAGTCGTGATTAGCCGATAATTAGCCCTCTTTTGTTATTAATCAAGCTTCGAGAAGTTTAGGATGTTGGCTTTGGCAACGCACGGTGCTTGTTTAGTTAAACTTGAAGCAGAATACTACATGCTATTACTGCGTCAGCAGTGAAAGAACAAGAAGCCCTCTCCCCGCCAAATAGAAACCACATGCTTCCTAGTTTAACTGCTTTTGGGATCCTGATGCAAGCGAAGATAGAGCATGTATAAGCAGCCTGCAAGCAAGTATAAGTTCTCGTCACCTAGGGTACTGAAACCCCCTACCCCGAAGTCCTTGGTTCCGTGGGCGCTGGCATAGGAGTTCTTGAGGGCAACAGGGTCGGCGCCGGCCTGGGCAGGTCCGGGCACCGCAGGCCTAGGGCCGAAGCCTCAGTTCGGGAGAGACCCTGCAACTCCTCAAGGCCTAGGGCCTCAGGATTTAGGAGAGACATCACAAGAAAGCCAAACGGCTATCAGGTGGGTAGCGGCTTACGTTTTAGGGGTTGGGTCCCTTCCGCAGTACATCGGGAGCTCCTGAGCATGCACGGAGCGGTTTTGGGTCTCGTCACTTGGGGTGTTGCCTCATTTTCGTTGAAGGATACTTTGCTATTGAGGATCGCAATGTGGGATTACTTGGGATTCTCTTTTCTGCAAACGTTCCTGTGCTTCGATGTGAATGTGGGTGGTGTCTTGCCGTGCAAATTGAGAAGATCCCCCCCCCACCCCACCAAAGCAAATTCTCAGACTTTGCTTGGTGTAGTGATGGTCGATGGATCGAATCATCAGCTGATGGCGAAAACACCTCACGCCTGAACGCTAAATGCTTAGCCTACACTCCGAAACTCGTGCCCCCTGCACCCTCAAAGCCTAAACTTTGACCCCTTAAACTGAGACTAGACACGGCAACAGCCCCGGGCAACTACAAGCCATTGCTGTGTCTGTCAGTGTTCTGTCAAGAGAATCTCAAGCACTAGCTCAGAACCTGCGAAATAGCACAGATAGAGTATCTGTCATGCAAAACGATCGGTGAGCTTTGTGTGAGTGTGTGATTCTGCTTCTATAGATCTTCCTCGCCGAGATCGGACGCAACTGGGATAAAGGGCGTGTGATCTTGCAAACATACTAGACGCACATTTGCTTCAGTCATAACGGTATGGACGAAAAGACGTAGGGACAAACATTGCCAACACAAGCCGCAACAGCAGCAACGGTGGTGTTGTACATGTGTCGCATCAGCTCGATACGCAGAAGCACTGTTGTATTCTTGATATTCGTGACAAGTGTCTTTGCTTTACCGAAGAGAAAACTGAAGCAACACTACATCATATCAGCAGTGCGGCTGTCGTTTTTGTCGTGTTGTCGTTGTTGTGGCTATGGCTGATGCTGTTGCTGTTGCTGCTGCTGTTGTTGCTGCTGCTGTTGTTGCTGCTGTTGCTGCTGGTGCTGTTGTTGTTGTTGTTGCTGCTGCTGCTGCTGCTGCTGTTGCTGTTGCCGCTGCTGTTCCTGTCCTTGTTATTGTTAGCGTTGTTGCTGTCGTCGTTTTTGTTGTCGTCGTTGTTGCCGTCGCGTTGGTGCTGTTGTTGTTGTTGTTGTTGTCGCTGCTGCTGCTGCTGCTGTTTTTGTTGCTGTTGTTGCTGTGCTGTTGTTGTTGCTGCTGCTGTTGCTGTCGTTTCTGTGTTGTTGCTGTTGTCGTCGTCGTTGTCCTTGTCGTCGTGTTGTTGTCGTTTTCGTTGTTGTTGATGTCGTTAGTTGCGGTTCTCGTTGTCGGTGTCTGTGCCATTGCTGATGTCGTTGTCGTTGTCTTTATGGTTGTTGTTATTGTTGTTGCTGTGGCGGCGGCGGTGGCGGTGGGGGGGCGGTGGTGGTGGTTGTTGGCGTGGTTGTTGTTGTTGCTGGTGGTGGTGACGTGGTGTTGCTGTTCTTGTTCTTGCTCCTGCCGCTATTCTGGCTCTTGCCCTTGCTTGTTCCGGTTAATCTAGTTCTTGTTATTGTTCTTCTTGTTGGCATCGTCGTCGTCGTTAGTAGTGCTGCTGTTGTTGTTGTTGCTGTTGTTGTTGCTGTTGCTGCTGTTGTTGTTGTTGCTGCTGCTGTCGTGGTAGTGGCGCCGGCGGCGGTGGTGGTGGTGGTGGTGGTGGTGGTGGTGGCGGTGGTGGTGGTGGTGGTGCGTGTGGCTGTGGTGTTTGTTGTTGTCGTTCGTGCTGTTCGTCGTCCCAGTATCCTTCTTCTTCTGATTATTGAACCTCCTTTTCTTCCGTACCTATCCTTGCTTCACCGGTACTTGAATTGCCACTATCGCTATTGCAGGTAGTTCACACTTCTGCTACTGCTTTCAGTGTCAGAAGCAGCTCCGCCTGCACTAGAATGATTCGCGAACATCTTGTCAGCGATGCTCTTGATGCTGACGGTTTGAGGCATGAGTAACGATTACTACTACTGCCAACTGCCTTCTGCAAAATGGCCTGGAACCCCAAACTGCCTGCCTGTAGACTACAAGGTCTACCCTATTCAGGCCCCCGTAGGGGAGCATCAATTCATCTGACAGAAAGCCGAAGAGCCTTGGCAAGCTCCAGTGCCCTCGCCTGCCGAAAGTGCTTAGGGGGGAGAAGCGGGATCTTGCAGGCTTTGCAGAAATCACGGCCTCAGAGGATCTCCAGGGTTGTCGGATTCTCGGGGGAAGAGCAACATCCCTACGAAACGTCGTTGGGGATGTGTTGTAGACCACGCAACAGTTGCCGCTGGGGAACATGAGGACAAACACAGCACACGAGACCAAATGGAGGCAACACGAAAAACTGGGGTCAATGCACGAACTTGCCGGATGGCTTATAGCGAAACAATGCTTGACCCTAAAGTCACATCTGAGCCTCTACAGCCGTCGTGTGCGGATTTTGCACAGCCAATTTATCGGGCAATCTGTGGGAAGGATGCTGTTGATTTTACGCCAAGCCCATGTATCACAGTAATTGCTGGGGAGGAACATGCGCAAAGGCGAGCTCGACCACACATACACCAAACTTGCAGAATCAGCAGACATGACGACACGACACGGAAGCGAGCGCAGAAGCCGAAGAAACGTATACGATTAAATTCATTATCAGGGTGTTTTGGTTCTGCGTGCAGTAGTGGCGTGAGGGGGTTCTCATTGACTGGGCTGGTGGCAGGTTTGGGTGGTAGGGTTCACAAGGATTGAGGGTGTTCATGCTCTTTCCTGACCGTGGCATAAAACTTCTAGATCGCAACATCCAAGCCCTCAGCTCTCGACCATGCGAGAAACCATCGGAGCGAGGAAACAACATCAACTAGTCCGGCCGAACCCCAAACAAAAAACTCTGAGCCTGCGCGTCCTTCTTCGGGAGGTTCACCCCGGTCGTGCTGTAGAGCACACCATAGAGTTCTTCAGGGCGGAAGGCTCTATGTAGGGCTTGCGGACAGGTGTTATGGACGTCTCATGTGAGCTCGCTCATGAACTTGTTGTAGCCTTGCCTTGGTTCTTGGGGTGAGTGACTTTTCTAGCCCTAAGCCACTCGATTGTTTCAAGCCACGGCTTTGAGGTTTTGTGGGTTTTAGGACTTTGGGTTGTGTCTTTACGAGGGAACGCAGTCAGGAGCTTTCACAGCTTTCATTGGAAATGAATTTTAAAAGGTTCGCGGCTGAGGGGCGAAGGCTGTAGGCGTGTCTGCACTGGCAAGGCCTGTGTAGACTCTATCTAGACTGCAGACATTTCTAGGTCCTAGATGCTACTGCTAATCCACAAACCCCAAAAACCGAAAACCCAAACACAAACAAACATGCTCAAACCAGTCAAAGGTCCAAAACCCCAATCCTCGTGCCCCTCCCCCACTTGCCTTTGACCTGGTCTGGCTGGGCGTAGGCCTTCCCGGGAACAGGACTCATCCAACCCAAAGCTCCCCGGTGCAGTTGTCTAGGCTGCCTTAGCGAGATTTATGAGAAGGGTTGAGGGTTTCATGATGGTTCCAACTCAGTGCTGACATGTAAGCCGAAGTCCCTGGAAGCCCCTGGGCTGGCTTCCACAGCTTGAAGCTTCAGTGTGAGTTTGTGGCTTTGCGGCTTCAGCGGCCTTTTCAGCGAAGGCTTGAAAGGCGGGCAAACCAGGAAACGAGCTGGAAGATTTTGGAGTTCGGGGTTGGAGTTTGGTATGTATACTTGTAGTCTAGAGGATCCTAAAGTTTCACCCATACACTCCGAGCTAAAGCCCGAATGTCCCAAACGGTAAAAGTGGCCCACATCCGAATCCTCCACCCAACCACGCTCAAAATCCTGACTCCCAAGCTTCGCCAGCGTTACTCTCAACACCGTTCACGGACGGCACCAAGCACAGACACAGTACAAATCACAACAAATAACTAAACGGCAAGTGCCGAAAACGGTCGGGATCGTAGGTGGGGACAGGGGTTCAGGGAGTGCAGAAATCGAGGCAGAGGGTTTAGCACGTTAGGTTTCCAAAGTCAGGCTTTACGACCCGGTCTTGTCTAACCCCCGAACCCTAAAATCCAAAAGAGTGTGAACATGACCTTCATGAGCTCCAGAGAAGTAGATTTCGCCACAGCCTGAAACTTTGCACAGGGAGGCTGAGGCGGAAAATGTCTTTAAACTTAGGAATTCATGACAAACGGTTCGAGGAATCTCCTGTCACCAAGGTTATGTTGCAAGTTTGAGAAACCCTGAAATTGTAGCACAAGTCTGTGTCAATCACTCATCGTTTCATCCTTTGCAGCCCACTACGCTGCAGCCATGAGAAGAATGTGAGGCAGTGCTTGCTCAGCAAAGACTGGGCTTTGAAGTAACCAGGGAGAAAAACGATACAGTTCAACTTCATAATGATTCCTTCAAGGAACAGGTTCAAAAAGGAAATGAAGTATGGTACTCCAAAACCCAGAAGATATATTCCACAGCATTCCCGACCCCATTTCTGGCTCACAGCCCACTCGAGATGGCCTGGTCAGCCTAGTCATGTAGGTCTGTGCGATTTATTGTTGCTGGCATGACAGCCATAGTAGCTAACGAAGTATCCTCACCGGGAAGGGCGACGGCTGACTTGGTGGATAGTGGATGCTGTTGGTGAGGATGCTGATGGAGATGATGATGGTGTTTGACAGGGCTAGCGGCGAAATGGATGAACAAAACGAACAGCAATCTGGTGATTGATGGCTGTGGGTATGACCATGAGCACTACCGTGGGCATGATCATGCTCGGGAACATGTTACTTCTCCGGCCATGGACGTAACATATCATGGCCATACATCGGTGTCATGCCGTCGTCGTTGCTGTTGTTGCGGTGGTGGTGGTGGTGGTGGTGGTGGTGGTGGTGGCGGCGAGGGCGGTGGTGGTGGCGGCGGTGATGGCGGTGGTGATGGTGTGACTGCTATGTGTGTTCGTTCCATCTTTCCTGCCATTACGATTGTTGTTGGACTTCGGTGTGTTGTTCCAGCACAACTCCAACCGCCCCTAGATTGTTTCACTTTAACTCTGCACACTGAAAGCCTGCAAAACCGTCAAGCCTCGTGTCCTTGCCCAGAATGAAACCTCAAATCAAGACCTGCCCAGAAGCCTTGGGCAAATCGACGCTTGAGGTGCTGTACAAATTGGTGTACATGTGCTTCAGGGTTTCCTCGGACACCGGATGGGACCGATACTTTGGGGCAGGTGCACTGGCATCGTTGTTCTCAGCTGACTGACATTTTGGAAACCTTCTACGATGACAGCGATGCGCTGCTAATCACGATGATGATACGTGTTAGATGCCATTCCGAATGCATGCCCGTTTACCTCCTCATCTACACTCAGTTTACCTGAGGAGCCCTACGTACACTCACCAGGGGCCTGTTGAAAGCGGTAGCTGCCAGGATCACTAGCTCACGGCTGCATATGCAACGTGAGATGCATGTGCACGTGCGGACGTGCTCGTTTGTGACTTTGTACGTGTGTGTATATATATATATATATATGTATATACCTATGTAAATATATGTGTGTATATATATATATATATATCTGTGTGTGTGTGTCTGTGTATCCGTGTGTCTGTGTCTGTGTAACCAGGTGCCTGAATACCGTTCCCGTATTTGTGTTCAGCGAGTGGTCCGAACAACCATGCATTGTTTCATACTTTTTTCGTAGCTTTTTCTTCAAATACGGGGTTGACCGAGAAAGTAGGGAACACTGCTGAACAGTCCGTGCACCTAAGAAGCGTATTTCAGAGTTGTCTGATTGCTTACTTTCTACACAACCAGGCCAGTTGACATGAAGTCGTGTTATTGTTAGAACCATTAGCAAAACCTGCCCAACAAAGCCTCGTCAGTCAAGGCCAAAAAGTCCTATCTCTCATATGGCAATATAACTCCTACGACATCCTATGATTAGACCTACTAGACGGCCTAGAATCCCCTGGTGCAGACCCCAAACCCTGAAGTTAAACCCTACTTCGATTTTATTGATTAATGGGATCCCACCGAGTCTCTGGATCGATGTGCTGCTTTGCCAGGTCAAGGAGCTGGTCCTTCAACTCCTTTGGGCTTGCTTACGGGCTTTCTCGGGAGGCTTTGGGGGGTTAGGGCGGAGGGCTTAGTCTAACTGTTGCAACCCAACAACTCTGATGTGCAAATAGGGAAACACCACAGGATGTCACATACGTCCGAGTAAAATGGGGCTCTTGCAAAGGATCCCACCTTGCATCGTTCCAACGACTGCATGTGTTACAACCCCCTCAATGTACGGGTCTTCCCCGTTAGTCAGAATAAGGTTCAGGTCAGGCTCGATTATTTCTGGTGCACCCAGTTCTTCACAAGTAGATGACAACTACTAACTACTACTTCTTCAGACCCCTGTAACACACACCCCAAACCCCTGCTATGTTGATCCCTATAGTCTGAAGCCTAAGCCCGCATGATAGAAATCCCAAACCCCAGCATTATAGACTACCCCATCATTATTAACTCACGACCCCTCTACTACACACCCTAAACCATCATGAACCGCAAAGCCGTCTTCCGCACTACAGCAAGAGCGCCTGCTTGGAGAAATCCAGGTAAGACGTGGAGTACCTCTCGGCCGGAAACTCGCGCTACTCTGCTTGGTTGCATCAATCCCGGCATGGGGGGAACGGTCCCTGGCTGGTAATGCAAGACAACAACAGAATGCGAGGCATTGCAGGGTTATTGCTCAACTTGCCCTGCCAGAGTTCCTTGAAACCGTTGAACACTAAAACCCGTTGCATGGAGAAAGTACGGATATTTGTGTGGCCCCTGAACTGCCAAAGCCCTCAAGTGGAACCGACAACTTCTCTTCACTTACCTTATAAAGCCTAGCATCGACACCTTCAACTTTCTCATGAAGGACTTGGAGGAACGGCCGTAAGGTCTGGATGGAAGGCGCTGAGTGGTGGATTCTCTCAGGCTTCTTGGGCGGAGGACTTGATGGGTTTTCGATAATTCGGAATTGCGAGTTCTCCGTTAGGAGCTATGCCAATGAACAAATGCTTCGAGAACGACGAGAAATGCCCAAGGGGAATCTGGGAACAGCCTTTTCGTCAGTCTACGATCTCTTTATCCGCCTGCATAACCCTCGAGAGCTGCATGCCAGAGTTGCTTTCTTGCAATCTCTGTTGGTACTGTGTCGCCTACGCATCCCGTGGTGCTTTGAATTCCGTCTGCGGCTGATCTGCTATGGCTGTGTTTGTTGTGCCCCTTGTGTGTTTGAGCTTGCTTGCTCCGCAACACTGCGCCCAGGGTCTCCGAGGCTTCAGGGACAATTCAGGACAAGGTCTTAGGGTTTAGGGTGGTCCTATTGCTTACATGCTTGCGTGCCTGAGAAGGACGAAACACGAAAGAACGGATATGAGCGCCGATGCCAAAGCCCTTAGAACCAAGCAGCGCTGGACCTCGGAAACCATGCAGGCTTCTCTCAAAACCACCTTTCCTCAACCCCACTTGCTTTTCCCATATTAGGCCACAGGCACAAGACACTCCTGAGCTGCTTGAGGTCGTCCAGGCTCACTCCGCAAGCGGTCAGGATGGGTGCCTCCTTCACGGAAGTTGCGGTGCTAAGGCTTCAGTTTTTGCTCTGAAGCCTCAAATCCCGTGCTCTCAAACCCTAAACCCGTAGCAAAACCCTGAACCCCTGAACTAAACCCAGAGATTCTGGTGAACAATCCCTCGGCCCCGAAACCTCAGCCAAGTCCTCAATTCTTGGCAGCAAAAACGCAGGAATCTCCGAGTAACTGAACTTGGGCCAGTCTCTACTGTTTAAGGCTTAGGGCTGCGGTAGGCATCCTGTCTAGGCTTCAACGAGCCGTCCCTGATTTGCAGAAACTCTTCAGTTCCGTGAGCGACGGGTATGAACACGGAACATGGCCTGTGAGCCTCTAGTATAGGGGCCGGTGATTGGAATATGGTGTTGGGATGTGTCGGCAGGGGCCACTGTTATTGTTGCTATCTTTGTGATATTGCTTCCGTTACTATCATTATTGACTGTTGCTTCTCTTGTTAGGTATCAATGATCATACCATGTCATACCCTTAACCAAAGCTTTTCAAAAAGCTGAAGCTCGAAGATGTCCCGAGATTCCCCAAGCCGACGCCCCAGATCCTGCAAGCAAACGCTTAAACCCGACGCTCCTCTGCACGCCCCAGCAGGGGGCTTAGGGTGTAGGCTTTGGAAGTAAGACCGGTCTTCTTTAATTTAAGGGGTGCTGGTCCTCAAGCCTAAAACGTTTAAACCAAGAGTGAGCCCTCCAAGCCCGAAAACAACAACGCCTTGTGGGCCACGGACTCTGAGTCTGACCTGGAAAGGTCCAAGCCTTCGGTATTGTAAAGCCACTGCTGCAGCTCCTCAAGGCACATCATAACAAACGACTGTAAGCTGCTACTACTGGTACTGGTAGTAGATTGTTTCGGGCCTTTAGGAACTGTAGCTTCACGATGTTTTAGGCCTAAGGGTGACAGGATTGATTAGGACAAGGGGCCTTTTGTTTCATTGAACTGAGACTTCCACTACAGAGTTTGGGGTGTCGGGCCCTGGGTGGGGGCGTCTTCAAAGTAGCGCAAACCGTCTCTATTTGCACGCTTGCAACGAAGGAGCTGGCCCGAAACGGGAATCGAGTTTGCAATTAGCGTTTGCGGAAGTGGGTCTGAGGAGTTTTCCGGGACTTCTGGGCATTCTGCGGCATAGGAACGGATTCGGTTCGCTGGTCTAAGGCATGGTTCACGGCTTCGGTTGATCTCTGATGTTCGGGCCCTAAACTCTTTGGTCCCTCGGCCCTGAACCGCGGTTTTTCAGGTTTGCTACTCAGTTAGGGCTTCGGAGTAAGGGCGACGCTGAGAGATGTGAAGTCTTATGAAGTTTCAAGTTTGAGAACATCTTACTCGGTTAAAGCCTTTGGAAAAGGGCTTCAAATTAAACGAAAACCGACCTATGCAACAGTTGACCAACACAAATGTTCCTAAACGGGTGCTGGCGGTAGTGACTCTAGGCAACGAGGAACGACAAGGAACCCGGCAAAGAAAGATGTGCCGTGGTCATTTGAACTCAGCCCGAGAACATCACATCACAAGTAAACTGGCAGGCTTGCTGAAGCCCGAAACCGATTACATTGTCGATACCTAAACGGCAGACTACCGACTAGCACTGATCCCAACGACACGGCGGATCCTAGACCAGCGAACCACCCATGTGGGGATCTTAAGAGTAGGATTCCCTTTTAGAATCCAACATCCGGGTAAGTCGTCGCTCATCCAGCTGTGCCAGAAATTCGCTGTGCACATCTATCGGGCGCAGTGTTCCACCCCAGACCCTTCCGGTATTGGCACAAGTCTGCCATGGTGGGGCATTGAAGGATTGACGGGTGACACCTCGTGGACATGAGGTATTCCATCGAGCTCGGCCGCATTGGTCATCCTAACCCCTAAACACGAATGGGAGTGTCTGTCCCGATTAGCCAGATTTCTGTGACCCTACATCCACAGTCAATACTGCCAAGCCTTAAACCTTACCCTATCTTACCCTCAACCCTGTGACGGTTTGTGGCACCTCTACCTCACGCAAAGCCACTTTGCCTCGTTACTCCATGCAATGACAGACGAACATAAAAGGGGAAAGGGAACAGAATTGCGATCGCCAACTTAGGTGCTCCCACATCGAACTCAGCTTCCGGCGGGTTCACCGATGCAGCTGGCCAGCTGCAGAGTGGCGAAGAAAAGCACCTGCCGTCAAAGCAGATGCTATCCCCGACACCAAGTCACTGCTTTGGGAGCTTTGGCAGGACCCATGTATTTCGGGAGATGCATTGGACAAGTTCTATTCGAGAAACTTAGCCAACGACTCACCTATGATATGCCGAAGCTGCCAGTCGCTAGGACTGCGAGGATGCTTCGTGGTATCAACTTTGATGACCGCGTCACTGCAGTGCTCCTCAAGGATTCCTTTTGAAGCAAGCCTGCTCAACCCCAAAACCCTAAAACTTCGGAGCCCTCCCTGGTATACACCAGTGCGCACCACGAAATCCACCAGAACAAGGCAGCAATGATCACCTCCGTTGGCTCTAAGCCAGAGCCTCTGGTTCAGGGTGTAAATGATAAGCTAAGCATGCCCATTCTCGTCTTAGCATTGCAACTGTGATTGCTTCACAAGCAGCAGGACGTATGACTGCTTCGACGTTCCTGCTAACATTTACTCGTAGTATAGCAACATCAACTGCCAGTCTTGAAAAACTGCTACTGCGCTGCGATCACCAAACCCTATAGTGTTGTGGCCCGGGCGCACTGCTCCTGTTTGGGTCCACTAGATAGGGAACCGTGAGCTTAGGCTTTCGGACTCCAGGCTCAACAGCTTACTGGTACACAGCCAACGAGCTCAAATCAAGTTCTTGACTCCGCTTTGTTGCTATGTGCTGGCAAGCTGTTTCCTTTTGCATGTTTACAGACCGTAAGAAGCCACAACACAGACATCACCCGGAATCTGGAGGACGGCTAGGACTATGATGCAAATGTGCAACCTGAAGCAGTATTTGAGCATTGGTTCGCTGCCCTTGAACTCTGTGAAGAGACAAACCCAAAGTGATCATGTGATTCATGCCCAAGACGGCTTCAAGGAGGTGGGGCTCTACGGCCTACCTTGAGGCCTGACGCTGTAGGGCTTTGGTGTCCAGGCAGGAACTGAGCGTTGCGAGTAATTAGGCTTCAATTTAATCACATTCCTCGCATTGTTTATAGAAGAAGGAAAGCTGAACTCTTCAAGATGACCTACACCCCAAACCCTAAACCCTACGGCGAACTGGGCTGGATGATCTGGGCTTAGGGTTTCAGGGTTTCGGGTTTAGCGGCCCTCAAAACGAAAGCACCTTGCAAAGCGCCATTCCGCCGGGTCGACGCAAAGAGGGGGGGACGATCAGCACTTAAGAGGCTGCGGAGAGTTTGGAGAACCTTTTGACTCACAGCCCAAATGCCCTGCAAAAGCCGAAACCCTGAAACCCTAAACGTGATCAATTTCATGCTCTGATCATTACTTGTTCTTTTCCCCTCACTCCTGATAACCTACGTGTAGTCTCTTGGAATCCCGCTAAACAAACGACAGATGAGTGCGTGCTTTGTTCGGTTTCATAAAGCACAACAGCGAACACCCAAGGATACATTATATACTTATATTGTAGGTCCTGAGATTCTATCATTAAGATATAGCTCTAACACTATAGAGGTGAGCCTCTAGAGCTCGATCGTTTATGTTCGATTCTGTAGAAACCCAATCTAGAAAGCTTAAGCCCTGAACTCTATGTAAATCGTAAACCGAGACGGGTTCACATAGATTCAAGACGTCTCGTGTGATTCAAGGTGCTTTTGTTCACCAGCATAAGGCTTTTGGGTGGTATGGATCCTGGAGCTTTCAAGGGTTTAGGGCTAACTTTTGTATACTTGAGACTTCCGACTTGCGGGGGCGCCTTTTCCAGAGGCGATTGCGGACTTTCTGTTGTGCTCCAAATGCAGCGGCCATCCTCTGCAGCTAACTCTGCAAGGGCCATGCAGGTGGCTTGACGATCGTGGTCTTGGACAACCGTCGGCTCGCAGTGTACGCTGTCGTCGGTCAGCACCGGGCAGGAAGAGATGTTGGATCCCCTGTCGGCTGAAGTTGTTGTCCGACCCTTCATGTACTTCAGGTCTGCTTTCGAGCAAGCGCTTCGCGGATGTATTTGTCAATATCCTTTTCCTCAAAAAGTCAAGGATACAAACCGTGGACTTCCGCAAGGTGCAACAGTGCAACACTCAGCCGTCCTAAATGGCTCTCCATGATATAACTAACTAAACACTCATCGTACGTCAACACAGAAGTACACTTGTCCCCACCACGACGACGAAAACACCAACAACCATCACCGGCACCGGCACCGGCACCGCCGCCGCCACTACCAACAGCAGCACCAGCACGACGACCAGCAACAGCCCCAGAGACCACCAACCACCCCCGCCAGCCCCACCACCTCCACACCCCCACCACGCCACCACCCCCAGCAGCAGCAGCAGCAGCAGCAAAGGCAGCACCAAAAGCCCCAGCAAAACCGCCACCGCCACCGCTCCTGCTAATGCTCCTGCTACTGCTGCTGCTACAGGTGCCACTACCACAGCACCACCACCACCACGACGACGACGACCAGTACTTCCATCCCAGCGCACTCACAACAACCACTCTGAGCAAACACCCTCGATTGCTGCCAAGCGTCGGGATAGTTAGTAATATACTTGATGTGACCCTTGCTCTGTATGTGCTCATCGGTCGCGACCTTGTCGCACAGGAGGCATTCCCATACTCCATCCTGTGGTACAAGAGCTTTGGGACTGTCGGGTTCCCGATAGACTCAAGGTATTTCGAATCATGGCCCGTCAAAGGGAAACCTCATCAGGAATAGTCCTATTAGGAATGCCAGCCCCAAAAGCAGAATCTGAAGTACGGTCGTAATCTAGCTCCGAACTTCAAATTCAATCAGGGATCGAGAGCTTCGTGAAAGCTTACGGGATTCAGCCGCAGCAATCTGATTACGCGAGTCACTGGCGATACTTCTGTGGTGTAGCCCCCCTCAAAAGAATAGAATCCCGACAAAGAGCAAAGACAAGAATCAACGTTCCTTTCATCAGGCTCCAATATCGAAACCTATAAACCCTGGGAAATCCTTTCCAAGCCCTTCCAGAATCTCCACGAAGGCTGCAAGGGTTTGAAAAGGGATATTCACAACCCACATATCTGAGGGTCCTTGCTGAACCAGTAGAGCCTAAACCCTTAACCCTGATAAGTCCTACACCAGTCCTTGTTGAGCCGGTAGAGCTTGGCTCGACCCCAACTCGCCGGAGGTCTCTGAGCTCCTTGCATGGGCATCGCCGGAGGTGTCGACTCCGTCCCCTCGGAAGCCTGAGCTCTTGCTGACTTGTCTCCGGAGAGTATGTATGTGCATACATACAAACATGCAAATATACAAACCACAAACATATACATCTACATACACATGTGCATGTACATATACATGTACGTATACATATACATGTGCAGGTATATATATATATGTATACACATACATATACACCTATACCTATACACACACATATACATATACATTATGGCAACTGAAAGGAATTTTTGGAAATGAGCCCAGAAACTGCTGCTGCAGAAGATGCGCCTTGTGGCTTTGCGTGCTTCTGCCTAGTTTGGGCCACCCATTTCAAGATCTCTCCTTCTGGGTATCCGAGGTTGCTCCTCGGTTGACGTGGGATACAACAAGCTTGCATCCCGTCACCAGCAGCGATAATTTACAACTATACACCGAGTGCTCCGTAAGCAATTAACTTCGTGAAGCAAGCTGCTCGTGCTTTTTTGACACTATGTGCTCGTCTGTGGCGCCCTTGTCGCAGAGCAGGCAAGTCCACGAGCCATCCGGTAGTTTCAGAAAAATGTCCTGGCAGGACATGATTGCACAGCACAGAGCTTGGAGTTCTAAAGCTTCCTGTTTCAACGTGTTCAAACGTCGTATTTTGCCCTTCGGCCCGTGTCCGCGCTCCTTGCGTCCCCAGGAAGGCGGGGGACCATCGGCTGTGCGGTCGCCTGGGTCGCCTCTCGCCTCTGGGGTGGACTCCGGCGGGTAGCCTGGCTTCAGAGGCGGTCTTTAAGACTCGAGGCTTTCAGGTACAATTCGGGGTACGCTAAGCGCGAACTTCTGACGTAGGTATTGTGCAAGAGTGACCATGAGGATGTCTGAGTTTCATCAGGTTGTCTGTCTACGTCCTAAATCGAAAAGCCGCAAATTTAGACCAAAATTATCCCTAAGCCGGCAATCGCTGAACCAGGCCTGCTGCATCTTCCGCAGGGTCGCCGGAGCTAGAAGAGTGCAGCTGGAACTTGTCCCTTGTAGCCCTGATGGCCCTCAGCTTGGAGTTGAAGGCAAAAGGATGAGAGCAGGAGGAAACCAAGAACCGAATGCAGCTCTAAACCAGAGGAGAGCACCTTCGACAATGCTTCGCAGACGCAGGCCCAAAGCACTATCAGCAGCCTGTGGATTTGGATTTACTAACTGCAATCCGGTCGCTGCTGAATTTTGGTCTCATCATACTTCAGATATCTGGTATGATCCTTTCCTTCGACCTTAGCTCCCTAGCTCGACTAGGGTATACCAGCCGTCAGAGGAGGTATTCTTGCCACTGCTAATCTAGACTCTTACAAAAACCCCATACAGCTCTTATAACAAATTTTGACTATTGTTGATTTAAACGTCTATGCTCTAATGCTCTGAACAGGCCCCCCCGGTGCATGGTCTCTCATAGCATCGATGTATATATATATATATATCTATATATATATATATATATATATACACACATACGTATATACACATGTACATGTAGAGTAGGCAGACAGACAGACAGACAGAGAGAGAGAGAGAGAGAGCGAGCGACAGACAGAAAGACAGAGAGAGAGAGAGAGAGAGAGAGAGCGAGCGACAGACAGAGAGACAGAGAGAGCGAGAGAGAGCGAGAGAGAGAGAGTGAGAGAGAGAGAGAGAGAGAGAGAGAGTGAGGGAGTGAGTGAGTGAATGAGTGAATGCGAGGGAGGGAGAGAGGGAGAGAGGGAGAGAGGGAGAGAGGGAGAGAGGGAGAGAGAGAGAGAGAGAGAGGGAGGGAAATAGAGAGACAGAGAGAGGGAGTGAGAGAGGGACAGAGACAGAGAAAGAGAGCGAGAGAGAGAGAGAGAGAGAGAGAGAGAGAGGGAGGGAGGGAGGGAGGTCTGCCTCATTATCCCCTAATTCAACGACAACGGCGACACCATCGTCGTCGGAATCACCACAATCGTCACATTATGTTCTAGTTCGGTTGAGGCCCGGGAGACTTAAGGGAGATAACATAATACTGGAACTTGAAAACGAATTTCTTGTAAGCCATTTACAATCCTGACTTAGAAATGTGTACCCTTTGGCAAGTTGTGCTAGATGTTGGTACTCTTTTTGACTTTGGTTCAGCTTAGTGACTTACCAGTTCGAATGCAGTTGTTCTTATACATGTGAAACATGTTTTTTTGCGCTGGACCCCTTGTGGTTTCTTGCAACAGGCATACACAAGAACAATAGCGCGCGCTGCCAGCTTCATAGAGTTCTATTCTGTGCTGTGCATGATGGATTTCTTTGAAGGCATTGCGCCATCAGTGTGGAAAGTGCATATCACCACTGGGAACCGACAAGGAATTTTCTAAACCGCCAATCCTTCGAGCCCGAATAAAACCCACAGAAGCGTGAATCCTGAACGTGGGTCTGGGCTCAGTTTCATAAGCCAAGCTTCGTGACCGTCGGTAGCAGTTTTGCCGCAGAGCAAGCAGAGCCAAGACATGTCAGGCAGCCTCGCGAAAAGATCTGGGCGGCCCCACTGCGGCGGAGGAGAACTGCCTGCAAAGTCCAGCGGCTTATGGTGCTCGGAACCCACACTCTAGACAACTTCGTGGCCTTGCCCGAACGCGCACAGTTCTAGTGGCTAGTTGCAGAACAAGCGATAGTGCTTCATAACCAGCTGTTCGTCCCGATGCTGCTACTCCCGGAACCATGGCTACGTCCAAGCATCGGTTAGGGTATGCGCAACGGTACTTATACTCACTGTTCCTTCGGACCACAGCGGGGGTACTTGTAATCTACTTATGATAGTTTATACCCATGGAACTGCCAGTCAGACTGATCTGATGGTCGACGGACCGGGATTCAGATCTGGTCTCAAAGTATCCGCTCTCTGGGGAGTATATGAGGGATCTCTACGGGCAAAGAAGGTTTGAGGTTTAGACTTCTGGAGATTGGGGCTTTGGAGTTTCCGGTTTCGCATATAGCTTGTAGATTATGTAAATCCCAGAAGTTTCAGGGTGCAAAGAAGAGCTGGCAGTTGAGTGTATAAGGAGCAAGTCATGCACCCAGCATTCCCTCCCCTGAGGCTTCCTGACCTTCCAACATCAGCTCGGGCGTGTCGGGGATTCCGGGATCCTCGCCGTCGCCTATCCTCGAGTGGGGTGTAGGGCTGCCAGTGTGATGTTGAGCACGGAAGGAAGGAACATAAGGCGGAGATTCTGATGTGAAGGCTTCTGCAAGTGTCAGGACATGTTTGGACACGAAGCTCTCAACCCTCAACTGGTTCGGCTCCGGTACTTTACAGTTGTAGAGTTAAGATGTATAACAATCAAGTTCGAGCATCAACCAGTCGCACTTGAGCAGCTCGTCGTCGATCCACCGATCCAACCTGGTCTTGCAGCTCGGGATTGCGAATCTTTCTTCCTGCTTGACAGACTAAAGTCTTTCTTGGGATCCGTGATCATCGACAAACAGGGGCCATTGCCTTGAACGAGGCCCGAGCTGACCTCAACACCTTGCGAGCCTGTCCTGGAAATGTCATGTTCAGGCTGAGGTTCAGGGTGTGTCAATTGGAAAAACACACAGAAGCTACACACGATTGCGTTTAAAGGGTTCCAAGCGCTAACCATATGGGAAGGACCGACAAAGCACCTTTCACTGCCCCGCTACTCGCTCTGGCCCCTCTGCTGTGGTGTCATATGGCGTGCCGTGAAGCTGTTCATGGTCCAAGTGCCGATGCCCTGGGACCGGTGAACAGATCTTGCTCGCGTACCTAGTGGAGGGCACCAAACAAAAAATGACGGTGATGAAGATGAAGAAGAAGATGATGATGATGGTGACGACGGTGATGATGATGACGATGTTGATGATGTTGGTGATGATGATGATGATGATGATGGGATCAGGATGATGGTAAGGAAGAAGGACGAGACAGGGCTCGCCGAATGGATTTAGCAGCACGAAGAGCATGCACTGCTGCCTACACAGCTGTATTTGCAGCTATATCTGTATCACGACGCATGTCAAAACAAATGCAAGAGCACTGCCACTGCATGGGAAGGTGAGGTTCAATCCTGAACTTTTCCCCAAACCCTTAACCCTATGGGCCCCAAGCCGTAATCCTGAAAATAATCACAGACCATCGGCTTTCAAGGTCCTGGATTCATAGGGGCCTGGACTTTGGAAAGTCCTCCCGCATGCCGAACTACGCCCACAACTACCAGAGCCCCGGAGATGCTTAGTACAGGGTCTCAAAACAAATTCGAAAGCCTTCCTCTTTCTTTTTGCAGACAGGGTGGCAGCAATGTACATAGATAGGGACAAATCGAAAAGGGCATGATGTTATCAAAATTATTCGGAGGGCACTGGCAGCCTCCAAACCCCTGCACCTCCGAAGCCTGCTATCCCAAGACACCGGACTCCTAGTTCGGGCGAGGATGTCGAGTTCAAAAATTCAACAATCATCAATTAACAATCGAGGGTTTTGCACCTTCTAACTGTCAGGATCTGTGATTTAGCCTAAGCCCTGGTCTGCATGCCCTGTAGGGCAAGCAGAACATTCGCACGAGGCTGTGCGCTTTCTATTGGGTCGTTCGCGATGCATAACAATACGGATTGACAAATGACCGCTGCCACGCCGATATATTTCATGACTGGAAGCCTCAAGGACAGACTACTGACTACTGCTCCAAAAGCTAGACTGAATCTCAAAGATCACGCATATTCGGCGCGAAGTTCAAAGGTGGAGGAATGGGGAGCTTCAGGACGTGACTGGGGAAACCTGCAAGTCGGGAGAGACTCCACGCGAAACATGTTACCGATTGTTCAGGCTACAAGACAGTGTGAATCCAGCTCAGGTGCTTGAAGAGCATGTGCCGGTTGGACGGCGGCAGATTTACAGGCGGATAGAGCGCGCAGAGACCACACAGCACACTGATCCTTGCAGTCTGCACTTTCGGAGCTGGGATGGCTAGTATAGGACATATAAAACCCTACGAATAGCAGCAATAACAGCAACATGCACACTGCTAACATCTACGAAGGAGAGAGCTGGTGTTACGCCATGATCGAGGAACAGCCTGGCCAAAGCGATGCAGGCATCATCCTTTGATGCCAGGAGTTCGCCAACCTGGAATTGTTCTTGGAGGGCGGTTGAGGGTATTAGGGTTTTGGGTTGCAGGACGTAGACGTCTTACGGAGATTTGTACGGTCGTAGGATCTCAGGGTTTAGGGTTCAGGGCTTTATGAACAGTTTCCCTGCAAAGATCTCCCAAATGGCCACCTAGCCACGGCGGCTTCTAAGACGTTCGCCTCCATTTTGGTCTTCTGCTCCTGATGCAATCGGCAGGAGCTGCAGTCTAAGCCGCGCGGATTATGGTTGAGGGTAGCCACAAACCCCCGAAGCCTCAACCGGAAGCCCTGCCCCCCAATGCAGGATTGTGATGTGATCCTGAGAACAAAACTCCTTACATCGGAGACTCGCGCAGGCCAGGGTGTTGTAGGACAAAAGGGTGATGTTAGGGTTTATAGACTTCCAAATGCAAGCTGCCGCGCTAAGGGTTGAGGAATTCGGGTCCGGTGTTGGGTGACAGCTTTACACAGTTTAGGGTTTACGGGTTTGGGCTGAAGTGCTGGGTGCTACCGAATCCAGCTTGGGCTGCCTATGGCCGTAACACCACTTTGTCTAGTATATGTGCATGAACACACACACTCTCTCTATTTCTCTGTGTATTTACAAACATATGTATATATGCGTATATACATGTGTATATATATATATATTTATGTATGTATATATATACATATGTACTTCTATATTCTCATTCTCTACGTCAGTGTTTCGATACGTGGGTAAATGTAGACATATAGGCAGGCAGACAGGAAAAAGAGATAACGAGATAGAGTGAGCGACAGCTCTGTCGTTCGCACGGAAGCTCGGGCAGCTTGACAATCAATGTCTTTCTCGGGAATTCCACCAGATTCTTCAGCCCCTAACCCTTAACTCAACAGCCTTGAAGCCTTCGAATATCTTCAAGACAGAAACCTAACCGCCAAGCAACCGAAGACAAATCTACCAGCACCAGTAAACTCTCCCAAAAACCCAAAGATGCAATCCTCCATGACATCGCCACGTAGGCAACTTAGCCGAGTTGTATCAATGACCAACAGTGCAATTGTCTCCTAAGCATTGAACCGAGAGCGCTGAAACCCACACAGAGTCTCACACCACAGGCCAAGCAGGTCTTATAAGCATGAAGCCTCAGAAACAAGGGTTTAGGGTTGAAGCCCTAGGCCCTAAACCCGGGGTCTCCAGAGTCCTTGCCTTGTCTGCGCTGAAAGCTTTGCCAGATCCATAGTGCACCTCGATCCGCATGGGGAGGAATCCGCTGAAGGTCTCCTGCAGGGGATCTTGTTAGATTTTCCTGGGCCTCGAACTGCAAGATAAAGATTATTAGTTGAAGATTGATTTAGGGCTGTCGAACTTGGACGATCTTCGTAAGACTGGGGTGTATAAAAGCAGCAACAGCCAGTAGAAGCAATACATCGTCCGTGAGCTGTATCTACTGGTAATTTGCCGCACAAACCGTCGTCGAATTCTTGAGGGATCCATTGCTATGCTTTTTCGTGGGTTGCGGTCCACTTCTTTGGAACGTCTACACACCTGCGCCGTCAGTTTGTTGCAGGCTTTAGCTCTTACCCTCGGTGGCCCAAAACTCTGACACCGCAAAGCCCACTACTTCGCGGCCAAAAAACCCAATGCTCAAAGCAGCCGGTGACTGACACCAGTGACTCTGCTCGTGAATGTTGCTGCTGCTGCTACGCTAATTAGTGCTATTCTTAGCATTATTCCTAGTTCCGGCTCCCTCGTCTTCTTCTTCTTCTTCTAACAGCCTTGTTTCTCTTACATTAAACGACGTTTCTGGGCTACCTGCTGTGATGATTCGTGTTGACGTAAGCAATCGTCCGATTTACTTCTTTCGATCAGCTGCTGGTTCTGTTTGCTGTTGTTTCTGAAGCTGATGCTGCTGCTGTGGTTGATGACCATGATGATGTTGTTGTTGCTGCTGCATCCGAAGCCCTGTGCCAGCCTGCCACGCCCCACGGCCTTCGGTGACATCACGCGTGTCCCCGATGCCGACCATATCTGCCACGAGATTAAGGAATCCAGTCCTCAAGTGCCGGGCGGAAAGTCTCGACCACTCCAAGCATCACATGCGTAGCGAAGTGCTACTCAAGATAAAGATACTGGTCGCCACGCCGAGGATGGCATAAGCTCAGTTCAAACACTGCCGAAGGCTCGAGTCCAGATACATACATACATACATACATACATACAGAAAATGAATCACATCACATCACGTCGTCGCATACATACATACATACATACATACATACATACATGCATGCTCACATATTTGTTTCCTTACTTACTTCCCGGGTTAAAAACACATGCACGCATGTGCATGCATGCATGTGTGCGTGTACGCACGTGTGTGTACATATATATATATATGTATTTATAGTACATACGTAGACTATGTATATGCTGTCTAATAAACCCTGCATCCTGACAGTAACGCCCAGGTACAAATCCCTTGACGGTGAGCTCCACCCCGTGGTCCAGAGCTTGTTCTGTTCTGTTCTGTGCGGACTCTCGTTCCGCGGGTCACGTGTTGTGACACTATGCGGTGCGTCCCAAAAATCGTGCTACAAATTCGAAAGAGGTGAAACGTCGGAGACCTGCGAGACTCGTGGACGTTGCATCCAGAAGCGATGCGCGGTTGTGCGTGCTTTTTCACAGCTGCGACCCTGCACGAAGTCGGTAATCCACACAACATGGGCTGGTTCCGGATGAAATCCACGTGAAAGGGTGGAGAGAAGGTCGGATTCATCTCCAACATTGCCAGGATGTGCAAGTTTCTCAGCAGTAGTTGGAAGCTTGGGTCCAAAGGCAAAGGGGGCCCTCGCGGATGGTGCAATGCCACTAAAATGCCTCCAGCCGCCCTTACGTACTTTGCGCTTCTGCGCAGTCGCGGAGGCTTCAAGTTGTCGAAACTGATCGTACGTAAGTGGGCGGTGCAAATGCAAGCAGCGGATGAGGCACGCATCCGATCTTTTGAGGTGTTGTTGTGCCAGTAAGACATTCGGGAATACCTTATGGCAAGCAACGCAGGTCTCGCTGGTCGCGTAATGGCGAGCGGGGGAGTATACTTGATGCGCTCTGGCTAGGTGCGTATGCAAGTGCTTGCGAAGTGGGAATGAGGCAGGACACAGGTAACACTCATGCTCTCCACAGGTGGAGGGCCGTGGAGCTTGACAGCTCGCCGCTTCCCGTCTTGTAGCTACCCAGGCGCTCACATCATCTAGGAATAGGCGAGTGGCGAGCTTGACCTGTTTCGGCCACCATGTCCTGTCCTGGCTGTAAGCTTCAAGCAGACCTAGCACGCTATCGGTACCCAAGAGTCCCTTGACTGATGGGAGATAAGTGGCAACGAGATTGATATCCTCACGCAACTGGGTCAACCAAGCTGTGCGTGGCTGCACGACCCAATGATCCCAGAGGAGGGCGACCAACTCTCTGGGGCCGTGATGGAAAAGACGGGCAATAAAGCTGGCTCGTGCGCCCGCAAGTGCAAAGGTGGGCGAGGCCGCCTGTGCTTCATGGAGCACACGATAGCAGTGCTGTTGTCCCGATGCCGACTTGCGACGAAAAAGTGAGCGCCACAAAGCGAGATAGTGCTGCTCCCAAACTCGCATGTGGCAAGCGACGCTGAGAATCAACGCTGCTGCAGAGTGCGCAAATTTCGAAATGACAAGCGAGCGCAGAATGTAGGCTCTGGTAGCAAGTGGGTACTCGCAGGCGCTAAAGAACTTCCTGCGCAATGGCTTGACGGTTCCGGCTGCTTGCGCGTAACGAAAGTGTAAATCAGGGACTGGAGTTCCTGTCGAAGTAACAATGCCGCCCAGGTGGCGGTAGGATTCAACAACCGGAACATGGTACTCTGTCTGAGTAATTCCGTTGCGCAGTTCCAGACACGGTTGTCCTTGGTCATCTTGTCCAAGTAGGGGGGCAGCATCTCGCAGCACTGCGGGAGGAAACAGGGCAGCGGTTTTGTCCCGACCATATTTGACTGTCATGCCGACGGACGTAGTGTAGTCGACAATGGTGCGAATGGTGGCACCAGTGCGACGAACAAGGTCAACAGGTGTGGAACCTGTTTGTGGCGCAACGAAATCATCTGCCCAAGCGGGCTGGCCCAGTGGGACTGGCCCGTCAAAGTCAATGCAATCAGGTCGTTGTGTGCAGGGCAAGTGAGGATCCAAGCCTGCCTCAAGGAGGCGCTGCTGGATGGCCTTAAGTGCAGCAGCAAGGCTAAATCCAAAGATTAAGTCGGCTGTCGGGTCGCCAGGGCGGGAACCTTTCTTTGTGGACGTGAGTTCCGGAAAACCTGAGAGTCTGAACCACGTGCCTCGAAAGAGGTCTTGTACAATCGCAATGGCATGCGAGGAAGCTCCAAGCAGTGGTAGCTGAGCCATAGACTCGAGGTGTGACCGGAGTTCACTAAGTGCATCTGCAGGCAAACGCAATCCGTGGAAAAGCTCCAGCAGTTTGGAGTCATCGTCAACGTGTGGTACGATGGCCTGACGCAGAACTCCATAGAAAGCCGCCTGCAAGTCAAAGAACACCAGTGCTGCCTGTGACCCACGGCCCGACGACATGGCGAAAAATGTTCTTGCGGCAAGGGCTACTCCTTCGATGCCCTGACCTGCAGCTACACCGGATTGGAATGCAGGCTGAGAATCTACAAGGAGTGGTTTGAGAACCTCCCGGAGATTGCGATGTAGTAACTTGCCAGGTACTGAAGAGACAAGTATGGAGCGGAATGCTTCACATGTCATGGCTCCACTGGCTTTCTTCGCAAGGCAGCACAGATCGCCTCCCCTGAATGCGACTGGCTCATAAGCACGGAGGGTGGCTTTGAGGTAAATAGGGAGCAGTTGCCTCGCTGCGATTGGTGCATTGAGCTGTAGTAATTCAGGAGTGATGCCATCCGGCCCTGCTGCTTTACCCCGCTTGGCCGAGACAATGAAGTGCTCGATTTTAGCGAGTGTAGGGAGGACTCGCATGTCCAACTCCCATGGGATGACTCTAGAAGCTTGTAGGTCTTCGACATATTCAGTAGGGGTGACAAGCGTGCCAGCCTCCTGCGAGGCAAAATGGCGCCTCCAAGCCTCTGCTCTATCAGAAGTGGTAGCAGCGAGGGTTCCATCTTCTAATCGTAGCATGGGCAGAGTACGAGGGTTTGCCCGCCTGGCGGTCCTGGCTGATGGGAAGACCCGGCGGAGGGCTCGATACAGGGATTTCGGATCCTGTATTTTGCGGGCGGCAAGATCGTCTGCAAGGCCTTGAATGTATGCTGTTTTGTCCGCCGCAACGGCACGACGTAGTGCAAGGGTTGTGCGCCGGTAGTTGGCAACGACAATGGCTTCGTTGCGGTCGACGGCACGAAGCCAACTGTCCGCAAGATCGAGCTGTACTGCATTAAAGGATTCTCCACGACCATGAAGAATGAAAGCCCCGAATCCTAAAATCAACCATCGCATCCTCCGCTCATGGTCTTCCTGTTTAAGCGCAGGCCGAATCGCTTTCCGCTCCTGTATCAAGTCAAGGGTACTGTCGGTGAGGTAGGGCTGACGTGGTGCAGGAGTGCTGGCGCTCTCAACAGTAGTGCCGTAATCATGCCAGTCCTGGACCAGCTTGGAGTAGTGCTCGTCAACTGGACTATCCCACGGCTGAGGCGAAGCTGAGTGGGAAAATGAAACAAGATCTTCTGCTGAAAGATCATGCTTGTCAGGTCGTAGGACAGTTTTCTGGCTGCTTTGGTAGAAGGTGGGCGGCATTGGGCGCGTGAATGCGCATAACAAGTGCACAGGAAGATGGTCGTCACGCATCTGTAGCAGTTCAACTTGTGGCAGGGTGCGGGAGACCATGACCGCATGACGCCACGTGTCTGGCACGAGTATGTAATCGATACGGGACCAGGTGCCGGAAGGGGAGCACCAAGTGTGTGAGCTACCTTGGTGCCAATGGCTCCAGGTGGAGGGTGCAAGCGCGCCAACCTTAGCCAAAAAGGCATGAAAGGCTTCCCCGGCAAGCCCCTCCTGTTCCGCACCATGATCACCAACAAGCTCAGAATGGCAGTCACCAAGCCGGGAGTTGGCATCACATAAGAGCAGGAAATCTGCACCCTCAGGACGTCGCAACAGGTCGCATGCTCGTTCATTCCAATAAGCGTGGCATTCACTGATGGGCACCGAAGCCGCAGAGGGCGCGTGTATGACTTGAATATGCAGCTGGAGCCTAGGGGTGACCAGGTTGACAGCCAAGTGCCTGGGGGAGGCACTGACAACAGTGACGTCATTGGGACGTACTTTGACTGCTTGACTGCCCTCTGTGTACAATGGAAGTTCTTTGGCAATCCACAGAGCACAACCACCTGTACCGGCTGCTGTGGCACCTGAACTATAGATGTGATATTCGGAATCTGCCTGCATTGCAGATTCAGAAAGTCTTGTCTCTTGTAAGCCCACAAAGAGTGGCTCAAAGGGTCTAAGTGAGGCCTTGAGCATGTCCTTCCTCCCTGTGATCTGTAGGCCAGTGCTGCCACCGGGCCAGTGTGGGCGGGGCTCACGGAGCGTGAGGACATTGAGAGTCACACAAGAAAGAACGTATCCGACATGTGCTGCTGGCAAGTGGCAGTCTGTGATACCAAATGATGGGCTGCAGACTGGATGGCCAAGCTTAGTTTGCCTAAGACTAGCCTCAACCCCGAAACAGTACAGACTGGGAAGGTCCCGTTGTCCCGGTATTGTCGTCCATGCCCAATCACGAAGGGGGTGCTGTGCCCATTGGCTTGGCCAATCCGGCAGACAGAAAGCATGGTCGTCTGGTGGGAGTCGTCTTGCCTGTTTGGCCAGGGCGTCGCAAAGTTCGTTGCCAAGGCAGCCTGTGTGTCCCTTCACATGTTGATGTGTGACAGGTAATAGATCGGCAACGTATTGCCGGAGTGCAACAGCAAAACCCGCGAGAGCAAGGTATGGCGAGGGTCCGCCAGAGCCAGCGGGTGCAGTAACTCCAAAGGTTCCGCCTCCGGCAGCTAGCGCATCGT